AGTCACTTAGAATTAAGTTCAGGTCCCCCCAACAGCGTGGACTGATCTCATACCTTTGGTGTTATCCGAACATTCCTCACAGAGGCTGTTAAGCAGTTCAGATGGGCAGCTTGGACAGAAACCATCCGGCCCTCGGGTGTCGGCACCAACCATGTGTTCTCGCTCAGGGGCAGTGTAGCTGATGACACATGTACCCCAGAGTGAACTCTTGGCTTTGTTTGGACCTGTCCTTTCATTTAAATTGCTCTGCAAACTCATGATCCTTGAGACTTAATGTGATTTCTTCCACTCTTCTAAGCACATGACAGAACTGAGTGGGGGTAGCCTTGGGGGTTGAGTGTCGGGAGAGTGCCGGTAACTAATTGATGACAGAGGTAAACTGCCTTTATTCTGAGTTTATAGTAGGACCTCTGATCAGTCAGCAGACCGTGCTGGAGCCCCCACCACCCCATGCATGTCACTGGGCTGGGTCTAGGGAATGGGACTGTGCCTTTCTAGGCTCACAGCACTCAGACTCCAAGAATGTTATTAAGTAGCGAGGAAGGAGTAAAGTGATAGCTGATGGCAGGATTAGAACAGCCATCCCCAAAGCTTTTGGGATTCAGTTGACATCAGTGTTACTACAGGAATTCCAAAGAATTAGGCATCTTGGCAAAGAAGTCGGAGTTTGGTTTGGGTTCTGAAGGGTCATAGGATTTGAGAGAAGAATTGGGATGGGTTGCCAGGTTTAGCAAATGAAAACATATATCCCGTGTATTTGAGATTCGTTGTTTATCTGAAATTGAAAATGCACTGCCCAGTCCTGTATTTTCTCCAGCAGGCCTATAAGGGAGGATATTTTTAGGCAGAAGAACACATGTGCTGACTTGCCTGCGCAGAGCGCCACGAGCAGCGCTGGATGTTGTTGGGAGGCTGCAGGCAGAAGTGGGGGGTGAGATGGCGTGGAAGTGAGACAGGTTGGTGGGTGGCGCGCCAGATTGTGATGAATGCACCCTTGGGCAGCTGCTCTGGTACCGGTCTGTGGGCACACCATGTCATCTGCACTTCTCAGTCCCCGTGATGACAGGAAGATGAAAGAACACTTTATCTTTGGTCAAAGAAACAGGACTGATGGAAGGGAATACAAAGGTGGGCCCAATTTGAAAGTTTAGCCAAAAGGTGAAAATTGTACTTGCTTGGGTGAAGAACCGGCTGGCCGTATCACGTCCCAGATGCTTTTCACGGAAGGGCACATCCTCCTGCGTCTTCAGGAGTTCTCTGTGGTTTTCTGCACACTGCCGTAATTTTGTGGTGACAGTTTAGATACATGTTCTTCTGGGGTTGGTTAGTACCTGGCCATGGACTTTCATGGGTGGCTGGATGTCGGAGCTCAGATAATATCATCGCTCAGAAGCTCGTGCAGGTGCTCTCATGATACCAGATTGGGCAGTGGTGGAGTGGAGGTCAGCGTTGTCCAGACCTCATGGGATTGAGAAGTTTCGTGACCAGAATAGGAAAGGTAGGCTGGGCGGGCAGCGAGAGCGGCTCTTGAGGACAGCTGGTACCACAGACCCACCCTTCGCGCCCTTGTTAGCTTTGTGCTTTGAAGAACATGAGTTACAAAGTGGGAGGAGTGGAGTCTCTTCCGGTTCTTTACACTGACCTTGAAAGTTACCCTGATCTACTTGGACAGGCGGGGAGGGCTGGATCCCATTTTCTAGACCAGTGGCTGCCACATTTTTTGATTTCGCAGGCCAGAAACTTTTTTTTTTTTTTTTAAAGGCTGGGGGGGAGTGTGTGGAGAGAGAAAAACAGAGGAAGAGTAGGTCACTGGGTTGCCAACTTTTAAAACAAAACCACGTGACCTATCATTTCATAAAATTAAAGGCATCTTAATACCCTGCCCCCAAAAAGCATTCTCCAGATAAAGGGTGAATACATTTAACTATATGAAGAATTTTATGTCATTTTGATTGTAGTCTTTCTTTACCTGAAGTGAAGTATTTTCACAAAGCAGTGATGTTCATATCACAGACCAGCAGCATCCGGTCTCCACGAAGCTCACTCCCTGTGTTCGACACACGAACAGCCGGCACAGCGGCTAGAACCCAGGCTCTTAGTTCCCAGTCTCGCCACCATTGTTGTGCTGCTCAGGGTCACATGGTAATAAACACACCAGTTCTCTTTGTCTTCGGGCTTCTCCACCACATCGCGATTCATATCTGAGAATATCTGGTTGGAACCACACGTGAACCACTGGTGTCCATCAAAGTTCAGTTCTTGATGACCAACTCTTTTGGTGAAGATCCTGACTGCACACCAATTTATGAACTTAAAAACAAAGCTGATTGGTGTTTGGGAGGCTCCACGTTGTAAAAGTCCTCTGTCCCATGCACATACCGAGCACTCACTGTGTGTCCAGCACTAGGGCCACAGGCACCGGGGATGCCGCCGTGAATGAGATCGAAGTCCCCACCCTCGCAAGATCTACGTTCCAGGGAAGGGGGGGATAGACAACAAATAAATTGAAACCGCCTTTCAGTCAGTATAAGTGCCAGGAAGAAATTATTGAAATACTTCTGATCCGTGCATTAACCTTTTGGACAGCAGTGCAGCGGAGTCTGTTTTATACAGATCCCATTATCTCGCAAGCTGTCTTAGGTTGGGGGATGTAGCTGCAAAGGAGCATGACAGGTGGGGAAGGGGAGACAGCTGGTCACAGGCAGAACTGGGGTTCAGAAGAACCGGATTCTGCATTTTTATCCAGTGTCTGGAGCAGTGTGGTGAACTCAGGTGGGACCCAGGCTGACGTTGACGTCAAAGACTCACAGCAGATGATACCGAGTACTAAGAAGGGAGGGTGGGCATGTCAGTGTCCGTTATAGCGTGCATGCGTCCCCCCGTGCTGGGCGCTGGACTGAATGCCGAATGCATGGTCTCGTGTGATTTCCCAAATCACAGTGAGTTGGTTTTATTTCCCCCACTAGACAGATACGGAAATCAAGCCAATAGTGCCAGGGCCCTGACCGGTTAGAACGGGGTTCGAGGCAGAAGTCAGGGCCCAACAGGGAAGCTAAGGCAGCAGCCCAACAGAACAAATGGTGATGCTTCGGGAAAGGACTTGTCCGACAGGCTGGCACAGAGGTGCTCAGGGCCATTTCACCTGGGCCCACGGCAGGAAAGCAAGACTACTTCGAAATCCCCGCTGCCTTGGGTGGAAGCTGTTAAAGTCTTCCTTGTCTTGGCCAGGACTTTCTTCCAGGTTCTGTGGCCATTGGTTGCTGAGTGGGGAGGTTATTTGCCACCTTCAGTGGGAGGGGTTATTTGCCACCTCAGTGTGCCTTTGGTGTTCTCTGTCCTTCCTCTTCGCTGTCTATTAAATCGGAGTTACCACCAGAGGGGGAGATTTGTCTACAGTCTATAAAATGGGCGTAATACAGACCTACTTCACACAATGAGAGTTAGCTCCCAGGTAGACAGTATGCCGTATGTAAAGGCCTGGCATAGTGCAGGATACATGGCAGACGCTTGGAAATGGTAAGGGGTTGATGTTCTCATCACCAAAACTAACTTTGGGAAAAATCACCCCGTTTGGGGGCACCTGGCTAGCCGGCTCTGTCGGTGATGCATGCGACTCTTGATGCCAGGGTTGTAAGTTCGAGCCCCATGTTTGGTGTAGAGATTATTTAAAAATAAAATCTCAGAACAAAAGAAAAAAAGAGCCCTGTTTGTATGTGTGTTGGGGGGGAGGGCCACGGGCGGGCGTCCCAGGTTGTGTACCAGAGTTACTGGTGCGCATCTCTCTTGTGGGGCCAGATGACCCGCACTGGTCCTTGTAGAGGGAACTGATTGTTTCACTGAGGCCAGAGCTTTGCGAGGCAAGGTCTCTGTCCTCCAGTTGTGCCAGCCGGGGCCTTGGGGCTCAGCAGAGGGGCCCAGGGAAGCCCACGGAGGCCGGGTGGTCTAGGAGGTGGCAGTCCCCTGCCCCCACCTTTCTGGAGGCGGTCAGGGTCTTCGGGAGGAACACAGGAACTGCTGTAGCAGTCTACTCCCCCTGCTGAGAGGCTCTTCTGGGTATCTTTGCCATATGATTTAACTTTTCCATTTGGAAGGGCTTTTGGTGCAGTTGGCAGCCACTGGCCTGGTAAACGATATGGTGGGGCCTCCATAAACCCAGGGCCATGAAACGAATAAGTCAGCACATTGAAAATATAGCATGGAAGTGACTCAAGCCCAAAGGAATCTGTTTCTAAAAGTACTGCCATCCCTTCCTGGAATATTTTGGTGGAAATGGATGTTTGAATTGGGAGGAGGAGGCCAGCAGCCTGGTTACTGGCAGGGCCATGTGTCCAGTTCAGCAGGATTTGCCCTGCGAGTCAGCCCTACCTGGCACAGGCCCCCGGGCCGCCCTCCTCCTCAGGGATGCGGCTCCACGTGTGTCCACCTGAGATAAGCCAGCTGGAGCTCGGCGCTGTGCCAAGCTGGTGTGAAGCTACCTTTGCGGCAGGTAGGGTCGACTCTGTGAGCCAACCTGGTAATGCTTGGCCCGGAGCCTGGAAAGTACTGGAAACTCCACCCAGCATGGGAGCCTGTGGGAGTTCTCCAACACGGACGGGTTATTCTCAGAGTTCTTTGGATTCCTGTGTATTTCAAATGTTTACCTTCTTCTCAGGACTTGAGCTTGTACTTTGCCCACCAGAGACCAATACCAAGCACATACATACTTAAATGTACCAGACCACCCTGGCGACCAGGTAATTAAAGCTGCACGCAGATTTGGAAGGGAGGCTGTGTTGGAAATCACGCTCTGCTGTAATTCAAGAACAGGTTTCTTTATGGAAGGACACAGTCGGTATCAGACACATGTGGAAAAGGAAAGAACGGGCCCAGGATTCTGGCAGAGTACCAAGGGCCAGATGTTAAATGTGCTGACCATGATGTGGCTCCAGTTGCCATTAGCCAACCTGGGTCGGACGTGTTGTTCTAACCCTGGTTCTGCCTTTTTCCTTTCTTTCCACCAGGTCCCCAGTCTGTGCGAAGATCTCCTGTCTTCTGTTGACCAGCCCCTGAAAATCGCCAGAGACAAGGTGGTGGGAAAGGATTACCTTTTGTGCGATTACAACAGAGATGGGGACTCGTACAGGTGAGCGCCCGGCCAGAGCCAGCCCCTGCCGCCCGGGACCACTGAACTCCGGCGGCCCGGCAGCCCTTGTCCTCTCTGTCGTTCCTCCCGCTCTCCCTCCCTGTCCCCATCCTCCCATCCATCCTTCCATCCAGTCAACCAGTAGAGGTTTGTGGAGGGTCTCTTGTCAGCATTGGAGACTCAGCAGGGAACAAAGGGCCCCTGGCCCTGGCAGAGCCTCCAGGCTAAGGGGAGAAGGCCCTTGTTACAGCACAGAAACTACGTGAGGTCCTGCTAAGGTTGTGAGGTACAGGGTGTGCCCGGTATGGGGGTCTTGAGCCCAAGGACGGCCTGTGTGGGCGAGGGATTTGGATGAGGCTTTGTCCAACAGACACGCGACTCAGCTTTCTCTCCCCATCGCCGTGCTGAGGGCTGTAGATGACAAGGCTGCCATCAATCCTTGGGCTGAGCTATCACGGTGCTAGACCAGGACGTGCACCTCGTGGCTGATGACCGTGTGTTGTGGTTCATGCCGCCAGGACCAAGCTTATTTGAAAGTTGAGGAGAGCATAGAAGAGGCTGGGGAAACTCCAGAAAAATTTCCTGAAGGAGGTGATGTGCAAGCTAGGTTTTTAAGGGTGTCTAGGAGTTCTTCCTGTTGAAAAAGATCAGGAATCCCTAAACTATCCAGCATTTCTGTGATGGATTGCTGTAGTCAGGGCCTTGGAGAATGGTGGAGGAATGCAGTCTGCTTTAGGTTTATTTAGAGGCCATAGAACCTGGGCTGAGTCTTAAAGCTTCAGCTTAATGTTCTCGGAGGTGGGGGCGGGGGCAGAGTCTGAGGGCTGGAAGCAGGGAAGTCAGCCGACATCGGCTCCAGACCAGCACTGCCCCCTCCCTGTAGCAACGAGGCCTTTGACAAATTACTTGTTGTCTCTGGTCTTTGGTTTGCTCACGTATCTGGAAATACGAGCATTCATTCTTCCAGCAGAATGCGCAGTAACATCTCTGTCAGCGTGTACTGTGTGTGCAGGGCACTAGTCTAAGTCCCTCTGCCATGGAGCTGCAATCCCAGTGAGGAGGCCAAGTCACCAGCAAATGCAGAAGTGACAGAGACTGGGAAAAGTGAGTCAGGAAAATAAAAAAGGACGAGGGGCAGGAGAGGTGGGATGGAAAGTCAGGGAAGGCACTTCTTTTAGTGCTAACACGTGAAACGGGACTGGGGTCACGTGCGGTCTGGGAGAAGAGCCTCTGGTGCTGAGCTGGTCGGGCTTGATCAAGCTTGGCAGGAAGGCTGGAGCGGGAGGTGAGGTCAGAGGGCGCAGCAGGGCCAGCCATGCCGGGCCTTGAAGGATGCCGCACGGAGTCACCGGGGGTTGCAAGAACTGACACACGTCAAGGCTGAAGGGCATGGAACTTGGTGTGAATTACAAAAATTTCGTTAATAATGACTTTTCGGAGAGACCAGACAGATGTTTCATAGTTGTGTCCCTTTGCCAGCTTCAAATGGACGTTAGGTCAGGAATAGACCAGAGACCCACGTGGAGATGGTGAGCGGTCGTCGGACTTGTGGTCCGTCCTGAGAGCAGAGCCAGCAGCAGCGCGTGCACGTGGACAGGGGTGGAGGGCGACTGCAGGGCTTCCGGCGTGAGCAGCTAGAAGGTGGGGGCCACGGTGGGTTGAGGTGAGGAAGGCTCTGGGAGGAGCTGCTGGGGGCGTCTTAAGCCTGAGAGGCCCATTAGATGGCAGTGGAGATGTCCAGGAGGCTGCAGATAGCCCCGAGCTCCAGGAGCGAGGGCAGGGTGAGAATGAGGTGGACACACGGATGCTGAGCAGCCCTGGGGTAGATCGTGCTCCGTCTGGAAGGGCCAGGCACTGTGCGGGCCGTGCGCATAAGCGCCAGGTCCAGTCCTTGCTGTAGAGAGGTCTGTGGTCGTCCTAAGTGGTCTGACGGACCAGGCGACATGCCACCAAGGGACAGCTGGCCCCTCCGGGCACAGGGTTCAGGGGCAGCTTCCCGGAAGAGGCGATCCTTGAGCTGAGTCTTACTCACTCAGTGTCGTCAGCATATTTCTTGTTTCCACCTGCAAACTCTGGTTCGCTGTGTATGGCAGCTGGTCCCCGGCAGCCTGGGGACGGCTGGAATTGTTTCCATGGCCAGCGTCCATGCCCAGGCCGGGCTGCCCGGGGCTTGGTGCCTGCAGCCCCTCCGGGTTGCCCCGCCATCTCCCGCGTTCCTGGGGCATCGCCAAGAGGCCTTGGGGGACCTCAGCCAAAGAGGAGCCCGGGATGTCAGGGCACAGGACTGTTCTTTCCTTTTCCCCCTTCTCGGTATAAAACTTCAAGGTCTTCTGATTCTCCCCACACATTTCCATCCTAACTGTGTTTGATCGTTCACTTAAATAAGATCCTTATGGCGTGACCACTGCCTGCAGCACCGTTTGAAACCTGTTAGCTCAAACAAAAAGCATTCTCTGAGGGAAATGAAAGGCCTGACTTTTGAAATCTAACCGTTCCTGTCCATCTGTCTTTTTTCAAATGGCCTCCATGTAAGCTCTTAAATGTGTTCTGAGTGCCCCTTCCACTAAGAATATTCTGGGTAATGTTATGATTTTTTCCCCCAGCTACAATTACCCCGGCTCCAGGACTAACGGCTTCAGATGCTGCCGTCTGTGAGCCAGGAGAAAAGGGAGTTACAGGCTTCGTGAAAATTCCAGGCCCCCGGTCTGCAAGAGAGAGGGGCTCTTGTGTCTAATCAGGTCGCCTCTAAATGAAAGCCAGTTGGAGAGGGTCTTCTAGGCCCACGGGAAGGCGAAGGCTGTGTAGCTGGGGGAACGAAGGTCAGACCTGGGTGTATGTGGAGAAGTCCTGAACAGGGCACGTCAGGGGGGGGGGGGCCTCGGAGTCTCTTCCACTAGCCCCTGGCAAGCCTAGTGGTGGGGACGGCACCCTTCCACTCAGTCTTTGTCTCGGGATCTGCTGGGAGGCCTTTGTTGTTGTTTTTAGGTGCTTAGGTTTCCCTCAGAAAAAGCAGAAGGTGGCTCCTTCTCTCTTGGTTTGGAAGACCACCAGCAGAATCCCTTTGGGTCTTTCTTTCCCACCCCGTGCTGTAAGGCTTTAGCCCATCACCGGCACTCACTGCCCAGGAGCTTGTGGTCGGTGCTGGGGCAGGGGGCGGACAGCACAGGCTCCTTCCCCACATGCCCTTGCAGCCTCGGGAAGTGGGGGGGCTGTGGGGGCTTCTGGGGGAGGTGCAAGGATTTTGTCACCTTTTTAACAGCTTTCTTAAATGAGCGTGTGGTTGAATGCCAGGCTCTGTTCTAGGTGCTGAGCAAACCGTGGAGAAAAAGACAGGAAAGACTGGCCCTCTTGGAACCTCTGTTCCAGAATTGTCTGCATTAATTCAGATGAAGTAAAATTAATACAGCTTCTTGGTTGCACTAGTCACATCTCAAATACTCAGTGGCCTTCTGAAGCTAGTGGCTGCCATTTTGGACAATGCCGATATAGACCATTTCTGTCCTGGAGTAAAGTTCCCTGAGGCAGCACAGTTTTGGGGGAATGAGGAAGACGGGTTCTGACAATAAGAACAGACACATCAGCCGTGCTCTGAAAGGGAGAGGCCCCTCGGCGAGGATGTGAGGGTGCCCAGTGTCAGCTTCACACCTGCCTCCTAAGCCAGATGGGTCCTGGCTTACCGGACAACTCTTTCCCATGCCGTGTGCCCAGTCCAGGGTGATCACAGAGCTGGCTACTGGTCATGGGGCAGAAGGGAGCACCGTACCCCATTCTTGTAAAGTCTCTGTACCAAGTGAGGAGAATGGCAGGGTGGAATGGTCAGCTTGGAGAGAAGGGTTTCCAAAGGCTCCTTGTGCTTCAAAGTAGTCGGGGCTACTGCTGCCTAGAGTTTTGGGAACCAGGGGCAGTGACCCTTGCCCTGCTCGCCGTTGGTGGCCCAGCAGCTGAGAGAGCTGGGACCTCTGTGTGGAGGCGGTCCTGGGGAGCGGCCACCCAGCTTACTCTGGTTCCACACTTGTGAGTTGCTGATGTAGGTGCCGGGGTGGGGCAGGGCGCCGATTCCCTAGAAGAATGATGTCTGTGCACATAATTCATTAAAACAGGGGTTCTGAAGACGGTGATCCCCTTTTTCCATAACATCAATTCCAAATTGAAAGGTTCTTTTGAGCCTTCTGTGAGGCGACGTTTGCTTGTCAGCAGGGGAAATGGGAAAGGTGATGATGTCGAGGGGTTTCAAACCACCCAGGAGTGGGAAGGACTCTGTCCATGGCCCACAGCACTGCCACCAGCCTCCATTCCTCTCACCTTTTCGTTCTCATTCTTTCTCTGAACTCCACCTGCAGGAATTAACGAGGAGATGCTTCCCCTAGAGCCCCCCTTTCCGGTACTCTCTGTCATTAAATGCTTTCCTGATGTGGCAAAATATACTTTTTTTTAATGCAGCAAGTCTTTGGGCTGGAAAAACAGAGGCTGGTTCTCATTACTTAGTCTTTTTTTTTTTTAGATTTCATTTATTTATTTATAGAGAGAGAGTGTGTGTCCGTGCAGAGGCACGCAAGTGTGTGGGGGGGGGCGGGGGGGCGGAGAAAGAATCTCAAGCAGACACTCCACTGAGCGCAGAACTCGGCACGGGGCTCGATCTCCCAGCCCTGAGATCACGGCCTGCGCCGAAAGCAAGAGTTGGACACCCAGATGGCTGAGCCACCCAGGCGCCCCAAACTTAGCAGGCTTTGTATTTGCCCATGATCTCAGATGGGAAGGCTCTCCCGTTCTCATGGAGAATAGGACCCCTCAGGTTCTCTCGCGTGTAGTCGGCCTGCCTCTGTGACCAGCAGCCGTCTTAGTCCTTAGCTCAGTAGGAGGGTCTCTGGAGTAAACATTTACCCAGAGCCGCCAGCAGGTTAGGGAGGCAAGAGGGGCATCTGCTGATCCGTACAATGGTGAAAACAAGGGGGTATTAGGAAAAGCGTAAGAAGCTGTCACAGCGTTGACAGTACATGCCCGGCTCTGGTCTGGGCACCTGGTGTGTCTTCTCCTTTGCTCCTCACGACAGCCCTGTGGGTAGCAAATGGTAGCCTTGTTTAACACGCCTGGAAAGGCAAGCTCAGAGAAGTCAAGACAACTTGCCGGAATAACAGCTGATGAGAGGTGGTGCTCGAGGCCTGTGCCCAGGCCTGTCTGCCCCTGAGCCCTTCCTCGGCAAACCTCAAGAAAGCCGTGTTTGTTGCAGGGCCTGGAAACATCTTTGCTATGGGTAGTGGCTTTTCCTCTGAAATGTCAGTCTGCCGGGGCTCATGGCTCACAAGCCATGTCTCCTGGAATGACTGGTGTTATTTCCTTCTCCTTCCTCCCCTCCAGGTCACCATGGAGTAACAAGTACGACCCTCCTTTGGAAGACGGGGCCATGCCTTCTGCTCGACTGAGAAAGCTGGAGGTGGAAGCCAACAATGCCTTTGACCAGTATCGAGACCTGTGAGTGACTTCCTCCCTTCCCGCTTCGGCTCCCGCAACCTTGATAAGTAAATCACAAAGGAGAGTGTGTGCAGGCCAAGCAGCCTTCCTTGAACCTGTCACCTGGCTCACCTAACGAATAATGAATTAAAACTGAGCCCTGATGGCAGGATGATGGGCACCGGCCTGGTGACTGGGGCAGTTATGAGGGGCCTCGGCGGTGGAGCGCTACCATGCACAGACCTGCCTGTGCAGGCCCCAGGTCGTGCTTCTGATAATAGCAGGTACCCCCCGGGCCAGCACCCCACTGTGTATCAGACCCTGTGCCGCACACATTCTGTGTGTTGTCTCAGATCCTTACAAACACCATAGCTATTTTAGTCCCCATTGCTCAGATGAAGAAATGAAGGCTCAAAAGCTTGAGGCAAGAGGCAGAGCCAGGAATCAATCAGGCCTGTCTGTCTCCAGAAGCCCCCCTGTTGTTACCACCCTGCATGCCCCTGACCGGTCGTACCTGCAGCTCAGAGACCCCTGCCTCTGTCGGGCCCTTGCCCTCTCTTAGCCTCCGTGTCGCTGACTCCTGAGGTCTTTGGGGCTTTAGCCCCTGTTTTGGAAAGGTTTTTGCTGAGTCTGCTTAGATCCCCACCTCTCTTTTCTGCTTCCATCTGGGCCTGCCGCCCACCATACCACCAAAAAGAGCGGCCATTATTCACCCACCTTACAAGGAAGGGCTCTGGAGAAGGTTAGTCCCTGAAGCATTTTTTCCTGAACCACAGTAGAATCTCATGGTAAAGCGAGTTTTGCACTGAAAATAGAGCACAACTGTAAAAGACACAGTACTACCACTGTACAAACTCGGTCATTTCAGAGAGGGGTCCACAGACGTTTCTGTGAAGGGCCAGACGGCAAGCTAACAGTTTAGGCTTCATGGGTCATAGAAGTCTCTGTCATTTACTTTTACTGTTTTCGTATTTTACGTGTATTACCTTCTAAAAATGTAACCCCCCCCGACCCCAAAAAATGTAAAAACCACTTCTCGAGCCTTGAGGTGGGTGGGATTTGGCCCTGGGTCTGTCATTTTTCCACCCGGACCTAGGATCTAGGCAATGAAGTGGAAATGGGAGAAGCAAAGCGTCTGAGCTGCTTCGTCCAGGAGCTGGTGGTAGCACCTGTGGTGTGGGGCTTCTGGACTCTGTTTTGCAAACAGTTGGAATGGCCTTCCAGCTCATGGCAGGTTTGGTAGAACACATTTCATGAAGAATTTCTTTTAGAAGCTGGTTCAGGAGGAGAAGTGACACTTCTCAGTCTGACATTCGGGCAGAAAACCCCATGAGGCTGAAGCAGACGAGTGAAATACAGAAGCCCAGCTCTAAGGAAGCAAGATCAAATGGCCCTCCGCATTTCTGTCGGCCCTGAATGCATTGCCGTGTGGTTCAGCTTTAGCTTGGGGATCGGTCGCATGCCGGGAGTGTCTGTAATGTTACCTCTCATCCCTGCAAAAGCCTTGGGGAGGAGAATTGCCCCTTTCTTATGGATGAGGAGACCGCGGGCTCCTGATGCTAAATGACTCACCGTAGGGTGCAGAGGTGAAGAGCTAGGATTTGGGCCCGTGTTTGCCTCAAGTTTCCACAAGTTACCGATCTTCACAGTTACAGTAAGTCGCGGTGTTGAACCGTGCTGTCGGAGACCGACTGCTTGTGCAGGCAGGCTGACGTGGACGCGTCGCTGTCCCGTCATTGGCTGGTGGTGGGTTTTACTGCCGCCTTCCCCCAGCCATTTGGCAGGAAGCTCATCCGGCTCCCACCCAAGAGCTCCCGGGTGGAGTCTGTCTCATGTCGCGCTGGAAGGCTTGACAACGGAAGGGCAGTGGTGACCCGGCGGTCCCCACCCAGTGCCTTTGTCAGCACGCGGCTCTGCTTACCTTGTGTCGCCTCCTGCACAGCCCGTGTGCTGGGATCGTCCCCGTCCTGCAGGGGAGGGGACAGATTCAGAGAGCCCAAGGACCTTGCCCAAGCTCACACAGCTAGTGGGTGGCGGACCTGGGGTGTAAAGCCGTCCCTCTTCCAACTCCAAAGTCCAAAATCTTCATGTACTCGAGCCGCGCTGAAGGGGCCCACCAAGTACTGAACGTGGCAGACCGCGTCCCCGCCTTCTGGAGTGTCCACTGTGGGGAGACACCACGTGGGAACGGGTGTCACGATGGGTGGCGGGATGGGGAGTGACTCGCTGCTTCAAGCGGAGCGGTCGGGAAGGCCTCTCCAGGATGTGACCTTGGAGCTGAGGTCTGATGCCAGGAGGGGGCTGGCCGGGCCGCAGGCTGGGAAAGAGCAGTCTTTCAAGGCTGCTTGTGCGGGAGCCTCTTGGATTCTCCAAGGGTCAGAGCGAGAGTGGTTCTGTTGTTTTTTTATACATAAGGGTTTGAGATGTGACTTTCTGAATGAAGCGATTCGGGCGTGTGGCCTTTGTACTGGCCTTTCAGGCCAGCCCTGGGGAAGAGCCCGGGTCTTGTCTTTGGCTTCTTTTTTCCTCCTTCCTGTCTTGTCGGTTTGCATACAGAGTGATGCATGGTCATTGTTAGGCATGTCCCTTCTTTTTTTTTTTTTTTTTAAGATTATTTATTTATTTATTAGAGAGAGAGAGAGAGAGAGAATGAGAGATAGAAAGCACGAGAGGGAAGAGAGTCAGAGGGAGAAGCAGACTCCCTGCTGAGCAGGAAGCCCGATGTGGGACTCGATCCCGGGACTCCAGGATCATGACCTGAGCCGAAGGCAGTCGCTTAACCAACTGAGCCACCCAGGCGCCCAGGCATGTCCCTTCTGTGAGGCCTTGATTGGCCAGGGAGGTCACGCTGCCTGGGTATAATGAGGCCTGGGACTCCCTCCCTAGGTGTACCTCCTTATGGCACCTCCTGGAAAGACTTCCCTTCCTGGGCAGATGTACGCTGTGAAGGTGGCGGATGTCTTTGAGCCCCTGGTCACCTCTAAAGGGAGAGTTGACCTGCTGGGGGGTTGAGAGGGGCTGACAGGACCGCTGCCAACACCCAAGTGGGAGATCAAGCCAGACAGGCCCAGAGCTTGAGGTGCTGTGGCGGTTTGTAGGCATGGAACACGGCCCAGAGGCTGCCCACCGGTGTGCTGCTGCTCGTGGGGAGGAGAGAGTTGAGGGCCTCTGGGTGTTGGGGGTGCGGCGGGGCGCATGTCTCCCCACGTGGCAGCAGCTACAGGCCACCGCAGGGGTGGTGGTTAGAGCGGTCACTGGGGACCCAGAGTCCTGTCTCAAGCCACCCAGTTATCAGAGTCCTGAGGACACTCTCTCCTGAGGCCATGTGTGGGGAACATTTTCCCAGCTGGACCACACATGAGTTAAAATGAGACCCATTTCTGGGCTAAAAATTAGGAAAACAGATTCTTTTTTTCCTTTCTTTCTTTCCTTTTTTCATTTTTTTTTTTTTACGTTCTTGGTACATTGCTCACCTCCAGAAGTCCCCGTTCTCAGTGCCCTGAGTTGTTGGTGGCCACGTTGGTGACCATGGTACGGGGCCCGGAACGTGAGCTCTTCTTTTCCTTGTGGTTTTGGAGCAGAGGGAAGTCAGCTGGGGGCTAGGAGCCCATGTCTCTGCCTTGAGTACAGGCCAGCGGTTACTTGGGTGTTCTAGGGACCAGATTGTTCCATAGGATGAAGGTATAGTAGGTCACGCCTTCCCTTTATTCTCATCTCTTTCCCCTTCCCATTAGAAAGACACATTCCAGGGGCACCTGGCTGGCTCAGTGGGTAGAGCGCGGGACTCTTGATCTCAGGGTTGTGAGTTCGAGCCCCATGTTGGGTGTGAAGACTGCTTAAAAGTAAAATCTTTAAAAACAGCAACAACAAAGATAGACATACTCGATTCCTGTGGGAAGACTCATTTGTTGTCACCCCAGGGAACAAAGCCACAGAGCTCTCCTTCCGCCTGTCTTTCTGTCATTGGCAAAGGTCTCTCTGAGGGGAGGCACTCCCCCCAACACCGCCTTGTGTCTGCTGGCTCTGCTGCTTCTGAGCTGCTTGCAGGAGGAGCTGGCGAGAGATGCCCAGAGCCTCAGGCACACCCACCCTGCCAGGAAGAGAAAGGGAGTGCTGCCACCGTGAGCGCAGAACAGGCACGCCATTGTGCCCAGGAGGACAAGATGAGTTAGGCCGCCGTCTCCAGGGCACCCCATTCCAAACTGGAGCTTGGCCTGCACCGCACGGGGGTTAAGGAATATGAAGAGCTGACCCATCCCCTGTGCTAACCTGGTCTTTGATTCCTGATGACCCCAGATGTTTCGTATTTCTTTGATCCCGATGGGTCGCAGAGTTAGGACTGGGCTTGCCTTGTGCTCGACTTCTTGACCACTGACCCTCTCAAGTGACTGAAGCTGCCAGGCTGCGGCCTTCGGGCTCAAATCCTCCTGCGGTGAATGCTTCGGAGAGCTGCTGGTTGTGTGGACTGCTGGTGGGAAGGGCCCTTGCTGTGCTGGGCGGGCCACTGAAATCGGCTCAGAGATTTGTCTGCTTTGTCATCTGAAGGTCTGGAGATTACACACACACACACACACACACACACACACACACGCAAAAAAAAGGCCTAAAGTGCTCTTTCCTGCCACCCCTCCGCACTGCCACCCCCACTGGCCTATGCCTCGACTGGCCTTGTAGGGATATTTTGTCATCTGGCAAATTGACAGGCACCCCTTTCTCCTCCTGCTTATTGTGGACCCGTTAACCTTGTTCCTACTGCTGATGTTCTCTGGAGGATGACTTCCGGAGCCTAGCACTGAAGTGAAACAGTGATCCAGGCCAGGCAGCTAGAGCCGCACAGGCTTTTCCAGAGAGTGAGTGCTCGCTGTTTCCCCAGAGGCTGCTCTCTGCCATGAGAGATTACAGATTCTTCATTAGCATCCTGGGGGAAAGCCTTGGATTCTGTCCTCAGGTGGGGGCTTTGGTCCCAGCTGTCAAGGCTTTGACTTTGCAGGGAATTAGAATGAATTATGAGCCCTAGAGCT